AGTCTGTATCGTTCTCTGATATGAAGGATGGGACATTCTGGGTAGTCTGTCTCTCTCTGATTTGAAGGACGGGACATTCTGGGAAGTATGTCTCTCTCTGATATGAAGGACGGGACATTCTTGGTAGTCTGTCTCGTTCTCTGATATGAAGGATGGGACATTCTGGGTAGTCTGTCTCTCTCTGATATGAAGGATGGGACATTCTGGGTAGTCTGTCTCTCTCTGATATGAAGGATGGGACATTCTGGGTAGTCTCTCTCTCTGATATGAAGTATGGGACATTCTGGGTAGTCTGTCTCTCTCTGATATGAAGGATGGGACATTCTAAGTAGTAATATCTCTCTCTGATATGAAGACGGGATATTCTGGGTAGTCTGTCTCGGTCTTTGATATGAAGGATGGGACATTCTGGGTAGTCTGTCTCGGTCTTTGATATGAAGGACGGGACGTTCTGGGGTAGTCTGTCTCAGTCTTTGAAATGAAGGACGGGACATTCTGGGTAGTCTGTCTCAGTCTCTGTTATAAGGATGGGACATTCAGGATAGTTTGTCTCTCTCTGATATGAAGGATGTTACATTCTGGGCAGTATGTCTCTCTGATAAGAAGGAGGGGACATTCTGGGTAGTCTGTCTCTCTCTGATATGAAGGACGGGACATTCTGGGTAGTCTGTCTCAGTCTCTGTTATTAAGGATGGGACATTCAGGATAGTTTGTCTCTCTCTCTGATATGAAGGATGTTACATTCTGGGCAGTATGTCTCTCTGATAAGAAGGACGGGACATTCTGGGTAGTCTGTCTCTCTCTGATATGAAGGACGGGACATTCTGGGTAGTCTGTCTCTCTCTCTGATATGAAGGATGGGACATTCTGGGTAATTTGTCTCTGTCTCTGATATGAAGGACGGGACATGCTGGGTAGTCTGTCTCGGTCTCTGATATGAAGGATGGGACATTCTGGGTAGTCTTTCTCTCTCTGATATGAAGAATGAGACATTCTGGGTAGTCTGTCTCTCTCTGATATGAAGGACGGGACATTCTGGGTAGTCTGTCTCTCTCTGATATGAAGGACAGGACATTCTGGGTAGTCTGTCTCAGTCTCTGATATGAAGGATGGGACATTCTTGGTAGTCTGTCTCGTTCTCTGATATGAAGGACAGGACATTCTGGGTAGTCTGTCTCTCGGTCTCTGATATGAAGGACGTAACATTCTGGGTAGTCTGTCTCATTCTCTGATATATGAAGGACGGGACATTCTGGGTAGTCTGTCTCTCTGTCTCTGATATGAAGGACGGGACATTCTGGGTAGTCTGTCTCTCTGTCTCTGATATGAAGGACGGGACATTCTGGGTAGTCTGTCTCTCTCTGATATGAAGGACGGGACATTCTAAGTAGTATATCTCTCTCTGATATGAAGGACAGGACATTCTGGGTAGTCTGTCTCGGTCTCTCATATGAAGGATGGGACATTCTGGGTAGTCTGTCTCGTTCTCTGATATGAAAGACGAGAAATTTTGGGTAGTCTGTCTCTGATATGAAGGACAGGACATTCAGGATAGTTTGTCTCTCTCTGATATGAAGGATGGGACATTCTGGGTAGTCTGTCTCTCTGATAGGAAGGATGGGAGATTGTGGGTAGTTTGTCTCTGTCTCTGATATGACGGAGGGGACACTCTGGGTAGTCTGTCTCATTCTCTGATATGAAGGATGGGACATTCTGAGTAGGCTGTCTCGTTCTCTGATATGAAGGATGGGACTTTCTGGGTAGTCTGTCTCATTCTCTGATATAAAGGATGGTACATTCTGGGTAGTCTGTCTCAGTCTCTGATTTGAAGGATGGGACATTCTGGGAAGTCTGTCTCTCTCTGATATGAAGGATAGGACATTCTGGGTAGTCTGTCTTGGTCTCTGATATGAGGAGGACGGGACATTCTGGGTAGTCTGTCTCGTTCTCTGATATGAAAGACGAGAAATTTTGGGTAGTCTGTCTCTGATATGAAGGACAGGACATTCAGGATAGTTTGTCTCTCTCTGATATGAAGGATGGGACATTCTGGGTAGTCTGTCTCTCTGATAGGAAGGATGGGAGATTGTGGGTAGTTTGTCTCTGTCTCTGATATGACGGAGGGGACATTCTGGGTAGTCTGTCTCATTCTCTGATATGAAGGATGGGACATTCTGGGTAGTCTGTCTCATTCTCTGATATGAAGGATGGGACACTCTGGGTAGTCTGTCTCATTCTCTGATATGACGGAGGGGACATTCTGGGTAGTCTGTCTCATTCTCTGATATGAAGGATGGGACTTTCTGGGTAGTCTGTCTCGTTCTCTGATATAAAGGACGGTACATTCTGGGTAGTTTGTCTCTCTCTGATATGAAGGATGGGACATTCTGGGTAGTCTGTCTCGTTCTTTGATATGAAGGATGGGACATTCTGGGTAGTCTGTCTCGGTCTTTGATATGAAGGATGGGACATTCTGGGTAGTCATTTTCTCTGTCATGAAGGATGGGACATTCTGGGTAGTCTATCTCTCTCTGATATGAAGAATAGGACATTCTGGGTAGTCTGTCTCTCTCTGATATGAAGGAGGGACATTATGGGTAGTGTGTCAGATTTTAGAGGTCTCTGTTTTATTATGCATTTTGTTTTTATCTTGTGTTCTGTGTCTTTAAGACTTTTCTATCTGTAGTAAAATATCTTTTTTAAACAGTTTGTTGCATAAGAGTTAGGTTTATTGTTTCTTACATTTTTTAGTTGTTTTTGATCTTCCCTGGTATCTCTGTAAGGTAGATACAATGCTGGAATGGTTATTAGGGGACATTTCTTGGGGCTGCAGTTCCTCTGAACTCCACAAGATGGTGATCTCATTTCTACTACCCAGACAGGACTTCTCTATGGAATACAGACAGGAAGTGATGTCAGGAACAGACAGGAAGTGATCTGGAATAAAGATAAGACGTTCCATTTGGTCTGAAGGAGATCGGAGAGGTTGCTGGACGTGGCAGTAGAGGAGGTAATTATTATTATACAGGATTTATGGCACCAACAGTGTCCTCAGCGCTGTACAATATAACGAGAGACAATACAGCAACAATACAGATCAATACAAGAGGGATAGGAGGGCCCTTATCCTGGGAGCTTATAATTTAAGAGGGAGGGGCTAGTGGTACAAAAGGTAGTAACTGTGGGGGATGGACTGGTTGGAAGAGTAGAAGATTCCTTTATTAGCTGAGGGCAGGAGAGGCTTCCCTGAAGAGAGGTTTTCAGAGATCGCCTAAAAGTGAACACAGAGTAGGCAATAGTCTGATAAATTGGAGTAGAGAGTTCCAGAGGAGAGGATGGGAGAAGCTCTAGAGAAGTCCTGGAGACGAGCATGGGAGGAGGAGACAAGGGAGCTAGAGAGTAGGAGGTCTTGCGAGGAGCGGAGAGGAAGGTTTGGGTGATATTTAGAGACAAGATCGGTGATGTACTTTGGGGCAGAGTTATAAATGGCTTTATATGTTATTGTTAGTATTTTGAATTTTATCCGTTGGGCAATGGGAAGCCAGTGGAGTGGAGGGATTGGCAGAGAGGGGTGGAGGACACTGAATGGAGGCCAGTGGGAGGGATTGGCAGAGAGGGATGGAGGACACTGAATGGAGAGCAGTGGAGGGATTGGCAGGGAGGGGTGGAGGACACTGAATGGAGGCCAGTGGAGGGATTGGCAGAGAGGGGTGGAGGACACTGAATGGAGGCCAGTGGAGGGATGGAGGACACTGAATGCAGAGCAGTGGAGGGATTGGCAGGGAGGGGTGGAGGACACTGAATGGAGGCCAGTGGAGGGATTGGCAGAGAGGGATGGAGGACACTGAATGGAGGCCAGTGGAGGGATTGGCAGGGAGGGGTGGAGGACACTGAATGGAGGCCAGTGGAGGGATTGGCAGAGAGGGGTGGAGGACACTGAATTGAGGCCAGTGGAGGGATTGGCAGAAAGGGGTGGAGGACACTGAATGGAGGCCAGTGGAGGGATTGGCAGAGAGGGGTAGAGGACACTGAATGGAGGCCAGTGGAGGGATTGGCAGAGAGGGGTAGAGGACACTGAATGGAGGCCAGTGGAGGGATTGGCAGAGAGGGGTAGAGGACACTGAATTGAGGCCAGTGGAGGGATTGGCAGAAAGGGGTGGAGGACACTGAATGGAGGCCAGTGGATGGATTGGCAGAGAGGGGTAGTAGAGGACACTGAGTAGAGGCCAGTGGAGGGATTGGCAGAGAGGGGTGGCAGATACACAACGGTTAGTAAGGTGGATGAGTCTGGTAGCAGCATTCATGATAGACTGAAGAGGGGATAGCCTGCGATGAGGTCGGCCAATGAGAAGGGAGTTACAATAGTCAAGGCGAGATATAACAAGGGAGTGAATAAGTTGCTTAGTGGTTTCCGAGGTTAGGAACGGGCGTATCTTGGGGATGTTGCGGAGGTAAAGTCTGAAAGATTTGGACAGTGATTGGATTTGGCGGTGAAAGGACAGATGGGAGTCTAGGATTACACCTAGTACCCTGGCATGAGGGGAGGGACTGATGATTGTATTATTGATCTTGATGGAGAAGTCAGGGGAGGGGGCATGGGCTGGGGGGAATACTAAGAGCCCAGTTTTGGAAAGATTGAGTTTGAGGAAGTGGAGTGACATCCATGCCGATATGTCACTTAGTAGGTTAGTAATGCGAGAGGAGACTGAAGGGGTGAGGTGAGGGGTAGAAAGATAGATTTGTGTGTAATCAGCATAGAGATGGTACTTAAAGCCATGGGAGTTTATCAAGTGACCAAGGGAGGAGGTGTAGATGGAGAAGAGAAGGGGTCCAAGGACAGAGCCTTGAGGGACCCCTACAGAGAGAGGGAGTGAAGAGGAGGAGGCAGAGTTATTGGTAACACTGAAGGGAGCGCTGCGATAGGTAGGAGGAGAACCAGGAGAGAGCAGAGTCTCGGAGGCCAAGAGAATATAGTTTTTTTTGAGGAGGAGGGGGTCAAGTAGTAAGAGTACGGAGTAGTAGTGGCCATTAGCTGGGATGAGTATGAAGTAATGGCCATTGGTTGGGATGAGTACGGAGTAGTGGCCATCGGTTGGGATGAGTACAGAGTAGTGGCCATCGGTTGGGATGATGAGCACGGAGTAGTAGTGGCCATCATCGGTTGGGATGAGCACGGAGTAGTGGCCATCGGCTGGGATGAGCACGGTAGTGGTAGTGGCCAGTGGCCATGGCTGGATGAGTACGGAGTAGTAGTGGCCATCGGCTGGGATGAGTACGGAGTAGTGGCCATCGGCTGGGATGAGTACGGAGTAGTGGCCATCGGTTGGGATGAGTACGGAGTAGTGGCCATCGGTTGGGATGAGTGGGAGTAGTGGTGATCGGTTGGGATGAGTGCGGAGTAGTGGCCATCGGTTGGGATGAGTGCGGAGTAGTGTGCCATCGGTGGGAGTGCGGAGTAGTGGCCATCGGTTGGGATGAGTGCGGAGTAGTGGCCATCGGCTGGGATGAGTGCGGAGTAGTGGCCATCGGCTGGGATGAGCACGGAGTAGTGGCCATCGGCTGGGATGAGCACGGGAGTAGTGGCCATCGGTTGGGATGAGCACGGAGTAGTGGCCATCGGCTGGGGGATGAGCACGGGAGTAGTGGCCATCGGCTGGGATGAGTACGGAGTAGTGGCCATCGGTTGGGATGATGAGTACGGAGTAGTGGCCATCGGCTGGGATGAGTACGGAGTAGTGGCCATCGGTTGGGATGAGTACGGAGTAGTGGCCATCGGTTGGGATGAGTGCGGAGTAGTGGCCATCGGTTGGGATGAGTGCGGAGTAGTGGCCATCGGTTGGGATGAGTGCGGAGTAGTGGCCATCGGATTGGGATGAGTGCGGAGTAGTGGCCATCGGCTGGGATGAGTGCGGAGTAGTGGCCATCGGCTGGGATGAGTGCGGAGTAGTGGCCATCGGCTGGGATGAGTGCGGAGTAGTGGCCATCGGCTGGGATGAGTGCGGAGTAGTGGCCATCGGCTGGGATGAGTAGTAGTGGCCATCGGCTGGGATGAGTGCGGAGTAGTGGCCATCGGCTGGGATGAGTACAGTGTAGTGGCCATCGGCTGGGATGAGTGCGGAGTAGTGGCCATCGGCTGGGATGAGTGCGGAGTAGTGGCCATCGGCTGGGATGAGTGCGGAGTAGTGGCCATCGGCTGGGATGAGTGCGGAGTAGTGGCCATCGGTTGGGATGAGTACGAAGTAGTGGCCATTGGTTTTAGCAGACTGTAGATCATTAGTGAGTTTTAGTAGGGCAGTTTCAGTGGAGTGTAGTGAGTGAAAGCCAGACTGTAAAGGGTGAAGAAGGTTGTTGTCGGTGAGGTGGGAGGAGCTCAGGTGATTGTAGACTAAGCGTTCTAGGAGTTTAGAGGTAAATGGCATCAGGGAGATGGGTCTTAAGTTGTTCAGGTTGGTGGGGTCCAGGGAGGGCTTGTTAAGTATGGGAGTGATGTGCGCATGCTTTAGAGGGGAGGGGAAGGCACCAGTAGAGAGGGAGAGATTGAAGATGTGAGTGAGGGAGCATAGGATGGAAGAAGAGGGTGACCGTAGTAGTTGTGAGGGGACAGGATCCAGGGGGCAGGTGGTGAGACGGGCTTCTGAGAGAAAACCTTAGTGACCTCTTTGGTAGTAGCGAGGTCAGAAGAGGAAAGTGTTGAGGGAGGTTTAGTATAAGGTATGCTAAGTGGGATGGATGTCTGTGCAGTGGCGATGTCCCTACGAATTGCATCAGTCTTGTTTTTGAAATGATTTGCAATCTCATGAGCAGTGAGTGAGGTACTGGGTGGAGGTGGAGAAAGTAGAGAGTTAAAAGTAGAGAAGAGAAAACGAGGACTGGATGACAAGGTATTGATGAGAGGGACAAAGTCGTCTTGTTTGGCAGCATGGAGGGAGGAATTGTATGTGTGAAGAAAGCAGATTTATATCGGGTGAATGCTTGCTGAGATTTGGTTTTATGCCACAATCACTCCAACAATCATTTCTGGTGTGGTCAGTCTGCCACGGATGTAATGGTCTGATGGGCTGATGCTTCGTGTTGTTAGAGGAGCAAGTCAGTCCAGTGTGGATGATAGTGAACTGTTGTAGACAGCAGTGGCCAGGTCAGGGCAGGACAGGGGAGAGATTCTGTCATAGAGTTGGTCAGTTGCAGAGTGGAAAGGAGCCGGGTTCAAGTTGTGAAGGTTTCTGCGGGTAATTGTTTGCTGCTTGGAGGGATAGGTGTTTGAAGATGAGGAGACTGTGAAGGTGATGAGATTGTGATCAGAGAGAGGAAAGGGGGTGTTTGTGAGGTTGTAGGGAGTGCAAAGATGGGAGAAAACAAGGTCTAATGTATTCCCATCAGAGTGAGTGGAGGACGGTATACATTGTGCTAATGTAAAAGATGAGGTTATGTAGAAGTGTTGGGATGTAGCCGGGTTGTTGACATTAATAGGGATGGTAAAATCTCTGAGAATGATAGTTTGTAGTTTAGAGGACAGAAAGTAGGGTGTCCAGGCAGAGAAATCATCAAGAAAGCGGGACACGGGGTCCAGGAGGCCGATAGATCACTGCAATCCTCAGAGAAATGGGAGAAAACAGCCGGATGCAGTGAGTCTGGGAAGAAGAGAAGGATAGAGAGGAGGATTAGGGGGGACTTGAAAGGTGCTCAGTGGGGATAGAAGCAAACCAACCCCACCACCTTTCTGACCACTGGGTCTGGGTGAGTGGGTCCAGATGAGGCCTCCATAGGGAAGTGCTGCGGGGGAAGCAGAATCTGCTGCTTGGAGTCAGGTTTCTGTAATTGCTAGTAGGTTAAGGGAGCCGGAGACAAAAAGGTCATGGACAGAGGTGAGATTATTACAGACAGAGCGGGCATTCCAGAGCACACATGAAAAAGGGAGGGTGGTTTTTTTGTGAGCACGGGGACTGATATTAAATTGAGGGGATTGCAGCTATTCCTGGAGGAAAGAGGATGCCTGGTGTGGGGGTGAATTACTGGAGGACAGAGCTTGGGGAGATATCCCCAGAGGTTAGGAGAAGAAAGAGGGTGCCAGATGTGGGGGTGAAATACTGGAGAACTAGGGTTTGGGGAGATATCCCCAGAGGTTAGGAGAAGGAGGAGGGTGCCTGGTGTGGGGGTGAAATACTGGAGGACCAGAGCTTGGGGAGATATCCCCAGAGGTTAGGAGAAGGAGGGTGCAGAAAGTAAGATGGGAGCGGGATGTACACGAGCGCACATGCCTTCCAGACCTGGTGTTTGGGTCAGTCAGCAGGAGGTGATGAGAGCAGTAGTAGTAGGGAGTTTGGTAGCAGTGAGGGTGAGATGTACAAGTTCTGGGGTGGAGCAGAGGGGTGAGATTTTTGGAACACAGGAAAGTAATATGAGAAGGAGGCGTAGAGGGGAAATATGAAAGGCACACGGAGTGGGACTCAGACTTGTAGGAGATGTTTCCCGGGGTGTTTGCTTGCAGTCTGTCCAGCATGCAGGAGAGTTTCTTGTTGTATCTTCCTGCTGCTTTAGTTCAACTGCTTCTTAGCACTCCATCAACGCAGAACTCACTCAAAAGCAGCACCCCATCAGTGATCTTCCCCCATCAGTGCCTGTGCCCCCCATCAGTGATCTTCCATTAGCTGATCTAAATTTATAGGGAGATGGCCCAATGAGCACATCATCTCCACCCCAATTAGGAACTGATAAGGATCACATGAATGGGGGGGATGATTCTCAAACACAGACCAGACACAGGCTACAGTCATAAAACGGTAATAAGATGTTATATTTCTATTTACACCCAGTAGCCCCCCGTCATGTCCGTCCTCTTCGTCCATAGTCATGTCCATCCATCCTCTTTGTCTATAGTCATGTCCGTCCTCTTCCTCCGTAGTCATGTCCGTCCTCTTCCTCCATAGTCACTATGATGTCTTTTATCTCCAGCAGATGATACACACATGTTGATGATATACATCAATATTTAGAAGGACACAAGGATCTCTACAAGGACGTCATGATGGACAATCAGCCGCCCCTCACATCACCGGGTAAGAGGAGACTTTATTGTAAAGGAGAGAGCAGTACGGAGGATCCACCTAGATCCCCCATCATCTGATAAACACATAGAAACAATGGATTCAGTCAGTGTGTGTGTTTCCTACAGATGGATCCAGTCATGGGAACCCACCAGAGAGATGTCCCCGTCCTCTGGATTCCCGGGATTCCACACAGGAAGGTCACACCATCCCTCACCATCATCAGGTAGATGAGGAACAATCACTGATAGTATCATTAGGATCTGTACATTATCTGCATTGTTACCATTGATGTCATTTTATTATCAGATGATATTTTTCTCTCATTTCCTTGATTTAGAGTGGAGATCCAATCGATATAGAATTTGAGGTGAAAGCAGAAGAAGAAGAGGCGTATGTGAGGGATGATCAGCAGTCTATGGAGGAGGATGGAATAACGGGGACATTTATTAGAGGAGGACACTCCTACAGAGATCAGCACAGGTGGGTCTTGAACACTAAATCCATTCCTCCACCCATACTGCTCACTGATTGGTCCAGAGTAGGGCGGGACTGGGTGATATCAGCCTGTAATCCCCTGGTCACTTTCCTGAGCTGTGTTCCCCGTCCTGTATTCCTGGATTTCTCTCGGATAATCTTCCTTCTCTGTGCTGCAGACACAATTTATGTCTATAGACTGGATTTATGGAGGTTCTGGGGTTCAGCTGGCAGCAAAATGTTGATTTTCACCATAGATGTCTATGAGTCCAGCAAGATCTCTGACAGAAACATTTCTCCCAGGGTTCCTTGCTTCGTGGTCTGCTGGCTGTGCCGGGGTGGAGGGATATGTCTGTAGTGTGT